TTTGTCGTCCGTTTTCATATATTATTTCTCACTCACCTGTATTGCTGTCTATACAGTTTCTTAATGTTTGTAATGTTTACTAAATTAGTCATGTTCATTATTCAAGTTGTATCGTCACTTTAACTTCGTACTTTAGTGCAAAGTAATTACTCATTTTTAATTCTACCCGTATTGGAAGGAAACGGCAATCTATTCAAACTTTTACTATGATAGCTAATTCACTTCCTCATTCTTGATTTTTTTACTTTTATATAACATAAAATTGTTGAGAGTTTTGTACTGTGTTCTCTAACTTTTGAAGTATTTCTTTATTACCCATTATTTGTATGTGTTTCTAGCGGGGCAAGAAAAAGTTTTTATTATTTTGATCTAATGAGCTTTATGGCATGGGAAAACAAAACAATCACAGCATTTTCTTTTGTTTTAAAACGTTTTTCACCCTTATATTTTGTTTTAGTGCGTTTCTCGTGTGTGCTACTTTCTTTTTGGCCATTTGATTTTTTAGCTTTAAAGAACCGGAAGTAAATGTGTAATACGAGCTGATATATCCGTTCAAACGCACCATGTTATACCATAAGAGTCGCACAAAGGACAATAAATTTATGTACAACTCTAGCGTTGTAAAGCAGTAAATGGTTTCTTCAAAATAGTCAAAACTGTCTCTTCGCTTTTCGTCTTAGATCGCCCGCTCTATTCTACATAGAATAAATAACCCCATTCTCGTGGCAAGGGTTCTTCCGTGGCGATGATGCAACAATCCACCGCGCTTGTCTTGTTCGAAATTAATTCGAAGAGCTTGGCGGTTATCTTTCTTGGTCAGCTAAAAAAACAGGAGTTCAATCCATTTGAGGTTAAATTGAATGTCGTATTCATCTCGTAATCCTCGGGTAACTTATGTGAACCAATTGCATACTACAATCCTCGATCAATGGGCCACGAGTAAACACAATACTATTAGGCATGCTATTATAACTACGAATAGTGGAACAGTTCAATATAAATAAAACAGGGTGCGGTTTGATGTTTATCTTCTCTGGCTGTGGATCGAAATACTGCTGAACATGCTCCTTACTTTAAGGTGTGTGTGTGTTTGGTGGTGGAAGGGGGATTATAGCTGACTGTTTACTTTCCCCGATCACCAGCTATCCATGAAGTTTCTTAGAGTTTCTGACTTGGCAGTTTAACTTTTGTGCCATATATTGATATTAAGTAGGGTTGTTAATTAAGTGGCCAGTCAGTGTATGTATGTATTCGTTGTTGGCGAGGGTTACCCATTTCAATATATATATATATATAGATATTCTGATTTTATAATTGTAGCTTCATATATACAGTCAACGTTTCATAGCACCATTATATAGAATTACGCTTTTTTCGTTCCGGATTAACATCTCATCTTAATCAACCATAAATTTCTTGTTTTTGACATGGTAAACAGCAGTACTTTCCAGGGTTTATGTTTTCTCACTTTCTGAACAAATGGCCCTGCCTTCCCATGTACACTTTTTTTATAATTAACAAGAGAGTTTTCTCATGTCTTTCTGAATGAACAATACCATCTTTCAATAGACAAGTTCATGCAGTGCTTTGCAATTGTTCTTTTATACTACCAACAGCACTGCATTCTCATATATAAATCTATATTATTCCCTTTGGTATTCATAGAAATTATACTTTTTCTGTATTAACAACAGCACCTTCATAGGTACTAAATTATGCTCACACTTTTTATAAATTAACAAGCTCTAGTTAACTATATACTAGATTATGTTTACACTTTTTATAAATTCACAAGCTGTATTTCACTACATACTAGATCATGTTTACACTTGTTATAGATTAACAAGATGTATTTCAAAATACATCTTGTTAATCTATAACAAGTGTAAACATGATCTAGTATGTAGCACTACATACTAGATCATGTTTATTTTCTTTTGTGATTAATAGCACCTTTTCCCTCACAGAGGACTTCTGAATTAACAGTGTCCCTTTACATATAAGTGGCGATGTTTTCTTTGCCTTGATAGCTATTTCAAAACAGAGTTAAAATATAATAATCTAAAAAAATTCAAAGGTTGACATAGGCATACAAGTGATCGAACGTTTGAAATGTGAAACTAAATGTACAAGTAATACAATTTTTAGGAATTAGCTTAAATGTATTACTTTCAACGTATAAGTGACATAGATCAAGATAAATGCGCATGCAGCGAAGTTTTATAGAATTAACAGAACTAAACAAGTGTTTCAGTTTTCGAAGAAAACACAAGCTTTTTAGTGGCACAGCTTTTGAATATTAATGCGTCAAACATAGCTGTATACAAGGTGCGAAAAAAGTTTGTAAAGCTACCGATACAAAATCAAGTTATCTACAGAAATAAAGAAACAATGATGATTTTTAATGTTTTGTACGAAGTGTTAATAGAACTTTATGGAAATTATCTTCCATATCCCCCGAGTTCTTCGAATTAATTCCTCCATCCTCGAACTATATTCATCCTGATGTTCACGATACATTACTATTGCTTAGCACAACAGTGTTTAATACAACAAGTTACTACGAAGAATGGCGAGGTTATTCTTAGACAACACATCTTCCCAAATTTCCCACGGTTAGTCCATTTTTAGACCACACATTTCACAAACATTCCCTTCATTGCACATGAACATCCAATACTCAAAACGAAATTTAAACAAACCAAATGTACAAACTTATGGATAAATATTCCACAGATTTTACAGTTATGTTAGAGAAGAGGGTATTATGAGCACCGGTTTCATACTCCATGCTTCCTAGAAACGCTGTTGTGGACTTAGGCATGTGACTTGAAACACGCATATCTTTTATGGGATCCTGGAGTGCAGGAATTTCTTCTCGCATAAATGATGTTAATACGTTCTCCTGAAAGAAACCGGAAATTCCCTTTTACTTTATTTTCCACTGTCTGAAATGTAGATTTCCCATTACGTGAGAAACCTGTGGAAACCATAAAGCCCTACAACATTCACCCTGTTGGAAAAGCCTTCACTTCGTAGTCTGTAACAAATGTATCTTTGCTTTTCACAGCCGTTGAAGTGTAAATTATTCACTCCTTATCCATGTTGAAGCCAACTTTTTCTCACATTAAAGTCATTTTTCGTAGTTTTCCGCAGTTTATTTTACTCCCACCAATGTGTCAGGAAAACAGTTTATGCACTCGTGTCTAGTACGTCTTTGCAATGGGAAGCTTTTTATGTGAATTATCTTATGAACGACTGAGGGGAATATGTGTATCTTATTAACTGTCACTTTCTGGGAGAGACGGTGTTTCTGCGAAAGATGCCAGCGGTAATGGTAGACATGGATATAGTGAGACACTGTTTAGCTAATAATGGTAGTCATGCATATGGTGGGATGCTGTTTAGATTGTAGCGGCAGTCATATCTATTGTGCAATGCTGTTTAGGTGGTAACGACAGTCATACATGTGGTGAGACGCTGTTTAGGTGATAACGACAGTCATGCATATGGTGAAATGCTGTTTGGGTGATAACGACAGTCAGGCATATGGTGAGATGCTGTTTAGATTGTAGCGGCAGTCATATCTATTGTGCAATGCTGTTTAGGTGGTAACGACAGTCATACATGTGGTGAGATGCTGTTTAGGTGGTACGACAGTCATGCATATGGTGAGATGCTGTTTAGGTGGTAACAACAGTCATGCATATGGTGGAATGCTGTTTAGGTAGTTTACATCCTCATATTAATATTCTGACCTTCCCTTCTCTATGCTATTCACTATTTCAGGGATAGTCAACGTTAAAAATGGTGCTCCTCGGGCTTTTCATTAGCATGATACGATTAACAGTCTGTTTTATGTTATCTCTTACTTGTTTCATTCTTGTTAATTTCAAAATTAGTGTTTTTGTGATCCATTAATTCACTTCACAAAATAACACAAAATGCATTATGTTTCTATAAAGTCATTTTTTAGCAGTATTACAAAGTCAATGAATGATATGAAAACGAATGATGTTAAGTTAAAGAGCATATATAAATATGAAAATAAATTTAAGTTACGAGCATATATGTATAGAACTAATGATTTAGAACAATAAGTAAGCAGATATAAAAACGAATGGTTTAAACTAATAAGTAAGTAGATATAAAAATGAATTGTTTTAATCAATGAGTAAGTATATATAAAATTGAATGTTAAACCAATAGGTAAGTAGATATAAAAATGAATTGTTTTAATCAATGAGTAAGTAAGTTATAAAAATGAATGTTAAACCAATAGATAAGTAGATATAAAAATGAATGTTAAGCCAATCGGTAAGTAGATATAAAATAATACGACTAAAAATAATATTCTAAGCATTTAAGATTTCATAAAATAATTTTAGCTATTTCGGAAGACAGCGCAAATTTGTAACTAACATTTTCTGATGGTTAGGGTTCTCGACTCGCAATCTCTGGCTGATGGTATCGAAATTCGATTCCGAACATGCTCGCCCTTGAATCCTTGGGAGGCGTTATAATGTATCAGTTAAATACACTATTCATTGAAGAAATAATAGCTCAAGAGTTGGCGGTGGATGCTGTTAACAATCTTCCTTCCGTCTAGTCTATCACTTTAAAAATTAGGGACGGCTAGAACAAATGGCTCTCGTGTCTAGTACTTCTTTGCAATGGCAAGCTTTTTATGTGAAAATCTCTCAGAAGCAAACAAGTAAATAAAACAAACACTGCAATTTTAAGACCCTGTGAAAACATTTGGTTGTTACTTTATTTTTTCAAAGGATTATCTTTGGTTTTTAAGGATATTGATAAGGTTTTTTACATACTTTTTCTCAGATTCCATTCCAATGCTAACATTAACTTCCGATCAGAGCAAGCTGTCTTCTTGGTTATGTATGATCTGTGACTGTACAATAAACCGTTACTTCGGTTTTCTCCAAATTTATATTGTTCAAACCAAACGTTGGGTTTTAATCTTTGTGATAAATTTCATTTAGGGCTACTCAACGGCTGAATTTAACAACTAAGAAGAAAAGGAGATACTACAGCGATCATGAATCTGAAACATCAGTGTTTCAGACAAACTTCACCGAAGTAATTCGATCATGTCCTCCACCTGCACCTCCTGGTTTACTACGTGTAACAAGTCGGAGAGACGGAATGGGTCTTGGCAAGGTATGTTCGTGTTTCTACCGAAAATAATTGTTAAGGAATTTAGTGCCTTGTTGTATTTGTGATATTTTTAATGAATTGTTTTGGTACCACAGTTGTTTTCAAAGTTGTTGTTTTTTTCGTCCCATTTGTTAATTAATGTGCATTCAGATACAATTGATCAGCCGGAAAATTATGAGAAAATTAGTGAGTATGTTAAGTCATTAAATATCAAATCAATATATTCCACAAGTGTGGGCGTCTATTGCGTGTGCCTCAGGCCGATTAGAAACAAGGTGAAACCGCGATGACTAAACATTTAATGATTTGGACTATCGACTAAATGTATGCAAGTTTACGTTCCCTGGGCGCTGATCGTGATAAAACTTTTATGTTAGTAATTATAATCGGTGTTCCAGGAAATGAACTTTTATGTATAAACGCCCTCATCTGTTAAATTACGCATTGTTCTAAGTAACACATAATTCAGCCACACATGCGTTTAAAAGAAAAATCAGTTTAATTCAAAATTTTAAATGCTAAGCTTGCTACACGTCTAAGTATATTCTGTTAAAGTCCTTGGCATTTATACTTCTACTAGCTTTTTCAGAAAGCATCGATTATGCATTGAAATTGTCTCAAACATAGAAGCTGGCCCTAGAGAGAGAAGCTTTTTAGTGGAGACATCCATGCTTTACTGTTGTACTAATGTTGGTAATTAATACTTTTTTTGGTGTTCTGTGAAGACTAGTTAGTGATTATTTTATTTGTAACTAACTACGAAACGACCATTTCATCAAATCAAATACAATATAGCTATGCAGTGTAGTTTCCATTGCAAAAGACTCCATCGTTAGATACCTTTCCTTTCTGCTGCTTTCAATAACCTGTTTAGGAGGATAACGGTTCCAGAGGTTCATTGTAACAGCATGATCACATTAAAATCAATAGGTGCTGTATTCGGTGACTCGACCAGTATATCTTCATATGAAATAGCATGAATGTCTGTTTTATCCTCCAACTGCTTGAGGTATGTGAAGGTTGAACAGATATGTTGTGGAAGCTTGTATACACGTTAATTGTGTCGATTTGACATAAAGAGATCCGTCTTGATTATATTGTGCACTGTTACCTGAGGCATATGGACTGTTTTTGGAACTGAACTTTGTGTTTGTGGATTCTCACCGGTTACCGGATTCCAAATTTTGCTTACCATGGCTGGAGTATGACTTGTAGGTCTCTTTCTGGATGATCAAAAGTCCTCACATTGATCCATATTTCTTTGTTTCCCAATGTCATTAAATACAGGAAATGTATCAATCTTAAAGATTTATGACGTGATTGTATGTGAATTTTGCGTCAGAGAGAGCTGTTATATATCCTTCCCAAAATCGATCAAATTTCAGTGACATCACACTACCTACAGAACGCCAAACAATGTCAAAATGTACTTTTATAACATGCTATTCTGCTGCGACTGTATATTGGTTGTGATTTACATGTAACTTGCTGACTTGCATATTCAAAATCACTTTAATATAATGTACTCAACCCTCTGTATAATAATTTATGCGTATTACCTCACTTTTTAAAAAAACTGATTTGAACCTGGCAAGGAGCGTAAGGAAATCAATACATCATTGTATAACTGAAGTAATCATTCATATGTGTTAGATAATGTGCATGTAGCAATAAAAATAGTATAAAACAAGATTCAAAGGCAGAAAAAATGCAAAATAACACTGGACTTGAGAGGCCTTTGAAAAAATGTCTGACATGGCCTAGTGTTTAGGGCACTCGATTCACAATCTGAAGGTCGCGAATTCGAATCCCACCATCGAACACGTTAGCCTTTTCAGCCGTGAGGACATTGATGAAATAGTAGTGGGTAGTGTTGGTTAGCAGCCTTCCCTCTAGCCTATCAGTGCTAAATTCAGAATAGCTAGCACAGATAGTCCTCGATTAGATTTGCGTGAAATTCAACAATAACATCAGAACAAACCAACAAAACCTTTAAAAAGGCAAAAGTCTTTCATAACATTAAACATGTCGAAAAGTTCTCATACTTTAAACTTATAGGAATATAGGGGAAGTTTCGACATTTAATATTTTCTTGTGGCTATAAAATACCTATTTTAATTTAGAGTTCAAAATTATCTATTGGTATATACCATTCTATTAGCTTGGTTTTAGACTCGAAAGTTATATAATAGTTACACTTAGTTGGTTTGATTTGATACTACGTTGGTTACATACCATTGATTACATCATTGACTTACAAGATTTGAATATGATTTAAGTTATAAGTTCATCTAGTAAACTGCATAGACTCAAACTCTCTTTTGGAATAAACAAATACAAAGGTGGCGTGCTTTGGTACCTTGTGATCTTACTGGATACGTTCGTAAAGTAATTTGAATTTCCCTGGTACTTTGAACACTCTCTCACAGAACACTTCATGGATTACCGTGATTCTTCTGCCACAATGATCTGGTGAGGTCTATGATTAGTGGTCTGGATAGTGCTGGCTGCAGATTTGGCAGATATGATGTCTGGACAATTTCCTTGACCAGTTCCTTCAGAGAAGACATTGGCTATTATGCCGGGTGATTGTTCAATAATTGGATCATGGACTGGGAACTGACTGGATCATCCTCGACTGGGAATTGATTTTCCTCCATAAACTCCCCTCTGGAAGTTGTTATGTTCAGAATCAGCAACTGTTCCTGTGTGGTTTTATGGGTGACAGGCAGTAAGATATCTGGCAGTCTAAGTTTCCAAATAATGTAAGGTACCAAGAGCGGTAAAGAATTTATTCTTATATGGAAAAACTCAAGAGAGAAAATGCTTGACTAGCTTAGCCTCTAATAGGTCACAAAAAAAAGGTTGAAAGTTGTAACCTGGAAGTGACAATAAAATCTTTTTCCGGAAACAATTTAAACCTCATTTGTTAAAACAGTCCTGTAATCAAATACCATTTCTACATACATATGTATATTGTATCACACTATCGCCTGAAAAAATGTCTCTAAGTACTTGTGAATGTCTTGGTCCTACACATTTCACAAGGAAACCATACTCAATCGCTATACCATCATGCTCCATAGTAGATCATTGTTTCCTATAGCTACCACTCACGTACACCATTGTCTGACTGTTACTAAAAACAGTTTCAATGTGGAAGAGTAGTCACAACTGCTAATGCAGTATCCATCCATTAGCAACTGAAATCTGACTGTTATTTTCACAACAGGTGATCACTGCCTCCTGACTTGAAGGCCTAATAATCCTTGTACTGTAGCAGTTTGGCTGAGCCTATGATACAAGCTTAGTACAACTTGGAAGAACTAAAAGCAATGACACATAGATGTTATTCAGATGTCTTACGCTGTACAATCACAGTACGCTCAGTGTATTCAAACTATAACTTCCATGAAAAATAAATGTTAGTAAAATATTTATTAGAAACTACAAACTATGAAATATTTCAATTGAAACAACTGAACACATCATATCCCAGTCAAAGAAAACACTAGGTAGACCATGTTTTCCCCTAAGTAACATACAAGCAAATATCAGCAGCTTCACTTGATGTGGATGATTTTACTTGCTTATGAATATTCCAGTTCTACTAAACTTAACACAGACATTACTAATATAAATGAAAACACTGGGCAGCATTATGTTTTCCCTTAATGTGTGTTAGACCAACGAGTAAATTTCATCTTACTAATGAAAATTCCATGAGCCTACGAATATTTCAGTTCTAAACACCAAACATATTCTTCCATCATTACTAATGAAAATATATATTATATCATCGTATATTTCCTTAATGTAGAACAGGCTAATAATCACTGTTCAACTTCATATATCGACATCTTCACATTTTTACTACATTCTTTTTATTACCTGACAATTGTATTCTTGGCGTATTTTATTCATGCACATATGTAACGACAAATATACATATTCATTAACATATATTTCATATAAATATATATTAATACTACATATTAAATTACTCTGTACACTTGGAATGTACACAGATAGTCCAATGATCTATGTACAGCATCCATGGTAATGTAAGCTATCACTCACATAGTCAACGCCCTCATAGCAAAACTACTTGTTAACATGCAACTAACTACCTGTGGGCCAATAAATTCGACTCTCTCTCACTAAATGTAACATATTATTGCAGGCAAAATTCAATAGTAGTGAAATGCTTCAGCGAGTATTCAAAGAACCTAAATAAATATTCATTCTGTCCACTGGAGCAAATATCAATGCTAGCTCGTACAACAATTAACAGTAATGCACATTTTCTGTCTTAAACAGCTCAAGCACTAGCATTGCTGAATCAGCATTTATGGTTTTCAAAAAAAAATTTCACTGAAGAAACAAACACAAAGAAATCTAGTGGAATGAGGACTACTCCATTACCAGTTGTCACAGCCTGATTTATCTACTGTGTTCTTCAAGGGCACAACCCGTTCACTGCATATGGAAGTCAGGCACAGGCCCGCTTTATTCAAAACTATAATCTTGTGGGTAAATACGACACAAAATCGCATTTGCACACAACCACAAGCTTTTCCAGATAATGTCTCATATAAATGTTTTCCAGTTTTCACAATCAAATTTGCATGACTGCTTAGAAAGCAAAGATTACAAAGTATTTCATTATAGTTTCCAAACACGTTAACTGTTAATGTTCTAGACATTACATCTAATGACATCAGCTATCCTTCTATGCTATAATTGAGTAGCTATCACAAAGTGTACAATGGAAATCATACTGCAAACCATTTCTCAGTAGCTGAGAAATCAAGAACTATCACTTCCTTTTAACCCTTAATTTGGCCATTGGATTAACCATTTTAACTTCTGATTAAGCAGTTAATCTGAGATATATAATAGTTAGGAAGTTGAAGTTGGCAACTTATCCAACTTACAGAGCAGTGAAATTGCTCTTCCACTGGTGTTTTATTATCTCACTGTCCATAGACAGCCAGACATGT